TTGATATTGAAAAGCCCATTTTCAATCGTATTGCATTTTATTTTTAATTGTTTTAAAAATTACCATTGTTATCGATATGATTGCCCCCTTTTTTTCGTAAAGTATAAATAACATAGAGGAAACTGTAACTGATATTATGAGCCGAAGTTCTCGAGACAAATCCGTCGGGTAACGTATTCCGTGAAAGCTTTGAAAAATTGCTTGTCAAAAGTTCAGAAAGAAGTAAATTGAAGAAAATCGCATATCATGAGAAAATGGCATCGGAAGTTTCAACCTGGGATAGCACAGAGGAGTCAAAAGTTCCTTTTCGTGTGATTTCAGGCTCAGAGTTGAAAATGAGTTAAACCCAGTTTAGAAAGTAGCTTGGATTTCTACCAAAGAAGAAGAAAATACCAAAGAGAAAGATTCGAAAATTACAGCCCCAAATCACATTTCTTCCACAAATATTGTGAACATTTTCTAGATCGCCACAACTCATAGGCATTACCATAAATCATAGCAAACTTTGAAAGCGATAAAGACATTTTAATATCTTTCCAACTGGAAGAATCAAAAGAAACTCAAAGTGGCAATCAAGAATTAATTTTTCCTGGGTGCAGGGGCTAAAGGGGCCTGGCCTATAACCGAAATTTGAAAACTGGTGTAATGCGCGTTCGCAAAAAAATTAGACGTCTAGCCACCACGAGATTCCTTGAATGAGCTGATAAGTCGTTTTGCATGCCTGCCTTCCTTCCTTCCCTCCTTCCTTCCTTCCCTCCTTCCTTCCTTCCTTCCTTCCTGCCTTCCTCAGAAAAGTATTTTCCCACGCCCTTGACATTCGGCACATCCGGGCTACCATAATTGTTCCTTAAACCTCTTGAATATTTAAACTCGGAAGAGGTTAGGTCCTCGGAGAGGAAGTGTTACATCACGGGAAAAATAACGCACAAACTTATCGTTGTCGAGGAGCATCTGTGCGGGACAATTAAGACGCGGTACCCACTAGGAGGAGGAGGAGGAGGAGGAGGAAGAAGGGGTGTTCAATTAATTTACGGACGAGATTTTGGTGCGGAAACTAAAGTGCAGTGTCCAGCGTCATTGGAGAAAAGGGGGGGGGGCGAGGAGACGAATGTTCGGTCGTCTCCCCGAGCGGGGGGGAGGGAGCCCGAACCGAGACTTGCATATTATCGTAGTGGGTGCACGCCTCCTAGTTTAATTGAAGAATTAGTAATGACCACGGTTTCATTCATTGGAGCATCTGAATGTATAATGCGATCCGATAGGTAGTTTTTATGATTTGGTCATTTTTTTTATTTTCATTACAGTATCCGAGTTTTCCGATTTCGGTTTTGCGGAAATCCAATCGAAGTATCCTAAGGACCAATAATACTGGTTTGGGTTGAATAGTTCGCTAAAATCAGCTTGAATCATCGGAAAAAGGTTCCTCTCCGTCCTCGCGCCTGGGTCGAAGTGTCCAACGCAATCCTCTCAACATTTTTCGTTTTCACATACCTTCGACAACGATCTTTAAATTGTCTTAAATCGCTCGGATCTGAATCTTCCTATTACTTGTTTCACCTCACTTGACGTCGGCATTAATGGACCAGACTTCTCACGACAGTTTTGTTCCATTCAAAGTAGATTTGTTTTAAGTAGGATTTGTTTTTAGCAAGCTCTCCTGCATGCATCGTGTTACCTTAAACGTTTTGAAAATGATTCACAATTTTTACAACTATGATTTGCTCCAAAAGCATTTTTCCGTAGCAGGGTGGTCAGAATGATTAATTCTTCCAGAATTTTGCGAATTTTTAATGCTGTTTGACCATGCACAGCACTTGTTTTGCGTTTGAATCACCACCGCGCTTTCTCTAAAAATACATCTACTTGAAAAACGAATAGTCCTCATCGTATCATGAACATTGTGGGGGAAGAGGGCTCCCCCCCCCCGCNGGGGGGGGGGGGCTTAAATGTGGTTGAATGGCGATTGAACCCACGTTGGCTTCGATGGAGCGACATCCTGTCAGTAATAGTACCGGTACACGCGAACCCCAAAATGCCTTCAATTCTCCGTGTATGCAACACAGGCATCCACCGAGCACGAATAGTTGCATCCAGACGTTAGCGCTAGAACCGGAGCTATTGATTGTGAATATTAGCTGCGAGCAGCCTCCCTGGATAAAGTATGACTAAAACTCATGGATCGCGGCGTTCAGAAAAGAACTTGAATTTATATACTTAAATATTTTCTCCAATTTTTAAGTTTTTGAATACCCTCAGTTTTTTGTTTGCTTTGTGGTCTTCCTAAATTCTATTAGTAAATCCTATGAAAGGGCCGTTACAATTCATGTACTACGTAAGGCATTGTAGCCGCAACTTTTTTACTCCCCCCCGCCCCTCTCCGTGTAAGATACCCGCAAGATAATCTCTCACCCTTCCTCCTCTTCGAATTGCGCACAACCTGCCTGATCACCCTCCCTCCCTGATCACAGAAAATAAAGTAGTGAAAGCAGTCATTTGCAATAGATTCTTCATGTATACGTGGGCTTCTTTTCCGTGAATACATCTTTTCGTAGCCCTTTCGAAAATAGAGGGATGCTCCGCAGTGGTGGACCCGCGGTTAGAAGTCTGTATCTAGTGGGGCAAGAATAAAGGGACGAAGGGAAGGGGGCGGGGAGCCTGAGAAGCCGCTCTGCATGGTATTAATGAGGAAGCTGGAATTAATTGGAGAGTGGGCTCTTTACTACCGGTGAACATTAATCAGGGTTGTCAATTCGAACCTAGTGTCGCAAATTCTTAGGTCTTGCCAATTCGCATTGTCTTCCTTCAGCCTGAAATTCGCTTTGCATGTAAAAACCCGTTTTTTTGTTTTTGTTTTTACCGCCCCATGATTATTCCGTGAAAAGTTCGAGTTTTAATGACTATTTGCTTTTCCTCTAAAAAATCAAGACTGCACAAAAATTTCAAACGTATTGATTAAGCCTGTAATTTTAAGATGAAAATTGCACAGACCTTCTAATTTGTTCAAACTATGTTCAAGAACTGCAAAACTTGGACATGTTGTATTGAGTGGATGGGTTTCCACCAAACTGAAGTTTATAAAGCAGCTTAATTTGAGATGAATCAGCTCTGAAAACGTAAAGTGTGTGCTCAGCTCATCAATTATTCGAAAAATGATAGATCCATGCACTGTTGATCCTACGTAGGCAAGTTTTAAAAATATGAATGAGTTTATTCTGCTCACAATCAGTTTGAGCTTATTAATTAACAATTTTCAAAATTTTGGAGACCGAATTTCCCCTACCCACGTATTTGTCCCCCTCATATTTGACTTTTTTCTAGATACAGCCTTAAAATCACTGTTTTTCTTTTTTTTATTTCGACCTCAAGTGTTGCTCCATCCATGCGCTCTTCAGATCCTTTTTACTGCAATTGAGATTTGTGGTTTTGGAGTTAAGCCATGGCGCTGTATGTTGTCAAATACACATTGTCAGCGACGAGCGTCTACTGGCAACTTACACTGGGGCACACGGACGCCGCACGGTGGAACGAGTTTATGGAGAAGTTGAACATGTTGGTCGGACAACTTTCAAAGCTTATTTTCCCGTTAATCCGAAACTTACATAGTTATTTCATAAAATTTTCTAGCAGAGGCATCCCTTAAAACTCAAAATATGACAAATTAAACATGAAAAGTTGCAATTTTAGTAAAAAAATCTCATGCCCAACTTCTTTTAATGGTTTGTTCCACTGTACGCCGGGACGCGCGACGGTCGATCGATGTCTTGAGTGGATAATTGTGTGACACGCTCACGCTCTTGAAGGAGCTCAAAAAGAAACAAGGCTAGCCAGACTCCTCATTCGCCGCTCATTTCGACACGCTCCCCGAGTTAACATTTCAGCTTCAGGGTAGCCGGTAGCGTAACTCAGTGAGTTCCATACGAGGACTGTCCCGTGTGCCCTAAGGGCAAGGGTAATTTTTCTGCCAAAATATAGAGGGGTAAAAGCCTCAAATAAAACCTTATAGGAACTCTAGAAAAAAATCTCAACTTTTTTTTTAAATTTCCAAAACACACTGAAAAAATTTACGGGCTATGTAGACATATACCGTCTATTCCCGGCTCTGAGGCTGAAAGTTCCGGGTGCTGGAACTGTAGCTTCGATTGATCCAGGTGCTACGCCCGGAACACGGACGGTATGTCTATATAGCCCACAGCTGTAGTTTTTTTCAGTGTACAAATAAAGTGAACTCTTTAGTTGTGGCAAAACTCCCCTATATTGGATTAAATTTTGCAATACGGAAGTCTGGCTCATCAATAAAAGCTCCTATCTGCACGGGGCAACTTTTGATGCGTTGTTTCTAAAATGAGCCAGAAATAGTAGTTCCTTGCTGCAAAATTTAGTCTAGCTCCAACTGACCAGTATTGTCAAAAATGAATCATATGACCACCGACCCGAACGTAGAATGAATTGGCAAAAAAGTTTCCATGTTTTTAATATTAACCCTGAATTGCAGGGGCGAGCCGTTAATTATCACTTATCGATATTTCCCCTTTTGAAAGTGTGATAAAGAATCGATTATTAAAGTGCTGTCAGTTGGCAGTTGGGAACGACCTGTTGATCGATCCTATTCATAGATTTAAATGGCAGATCAATCGATTTATCGCCAAAAACGCCCAACGAACACTGCTAAATTGACCAAAACTTGGTGGGGGGGGGTCCCTTTTCCCTGATATCGGCTTTAAGGGATGAACCTTGCTCTCGTGGCTAACCTCTACGCTGCGGCTCGTGTAGTAATAGTCGAGGTCTATTCAAACACGAATTGGATTTCCAAAAAAACCAGAGAGGAAAAAAAAGTCGTTCGAAATCGAGCTTTGTCTTTCATAAACCGTCGATGTTAAAGGCTTTAGTCCCCTCTGCTAGATAGCGTCGTAATCACCGCAGCTCTAGCGTTTTAAAATGCACGTGCACTCATATTAATGAAAGGCGTTTCAAATAAGTTTTTCCTTCTTTTATGTTTGCAGAATGGATCTCAAGATTTGCGGAGTTACTTGACACAAATCCCTGAATGTAACCCGGCTTTAGAAGAATTCTGCCGCGATCTCAAAGGTAACTTATAAAATCGCATTCTTAACATATTGCCATTCTAATACCCAAGGAAAAACGCCCCATGAGCATCCGGACGGTGGAAAATTTCCTTTGATGATGTAAAAAGGGGATTTCAGGGGAGTCGTGAACCTATGTTAATTTCCCTCTCTCCTTTTGTCTCACAATCACATAAATGCGAGCTACGTATTTATTTAATCCAACATAGTCAAAAATTTTAAACAAAGGTATTCGTAATTTACCCTAAAGTAAACATTTTATGGGGGAAAAGTGAGCAACATTCAAAATACGCTGGAAAAAAAAATTACGCACGATTTACTTCAGGTCCACCTGGTTTTGGACCCAAATATTTACTGCCCCCTGCTTGTACAATACTGTGGTAGATAATTAGATATTAAGCAGGAGTACAATGGTAAATGCTCCCAAAACTTTTGATTATTCTCGTCCAAAAGTTTGTCTCGGGGTCCAAAATCAGTCAATTCATACGCTTTAAAGTCATACACAGCACGCTTCTTCAGAATGACATCGCAGTCAGTCATCATTGAACCACCATTGAACTCTGAAATTAAAGCTCTTCAATCTTGCTCATATTTTTAACGATGGACGAAAGAACTTCGAAAATGTATGTGTAGGCATTCAACGTAGCTAATCTATGAGCTTTCTTTTAATTTTCATTGGCTACGGAAATCGATAGAGAGAATAGAGTCCTCCGGTTCAACGGCACCGTCCTTGGCAGGTGACGCGTTGACGCCCCATTCCGTTCGTCTGAGATGGGAAGGAAAGAAAATGTTCAACGTCACGTACACAGTCCAGTGGAAGTACGAAGAGATGGATGCAACTTGGCAATTCTGCAAAAACCAGTCTTGGGTTCACGAAAATGATATCCTAATCCACGGGTTACAACCCTACACCAGATACCGGGTAAGCATTCCCCGAGTCAAATTAGTTTTTTCCAAAGATAAGTTTCTATTAAATTCATAAAATACAACTCTCTATCGGTAATAATATTAAGAGTTAAAATGTTTTTCAACGTGCATTATACGGTTTTTACCAATTCGCCTTCAGCTGCGTGCGCAGCAATTGTTGTTACGAGTATGTTGTGCGTGCTGATTTTAGCTTTATTACATACGTAACTATCTGAAGGCGTTTTATGTGCGCAAGGAGCGCAATCTCTTATAGAACGAAGGAAGTTGGGTTTGAGCAATTCATTCAATCTTACTTCTGGATTTCTCCAACAGGGTGCTCTACTTGTGCACATAAAACGCCTTCAGAGAGTCAAATATGTAATGCGCTGAGATTAGCACGCACAACATATTCGCAACAACAATTGCTGTAGACGCAGCTGAAGGCGAATTTCTTTCGCACCTAGGACGCCTTAAAAAAGTCAAATATGTAATGAGCTGAAATCAGAACGCACAGTATATTCGTAACAACAGCAGAAGGCGAATTGCTCAGTTAAAAAAATAGTGTGATGAGGCGTCTGCATTCAACGAGAGGGTATGTTTTCGATCGACATGAATCGAACGAAAAGTAAAAACGTAAATATATATGGACTCGAACTGACCGACGCTGATTAAATAGACAAATAAATGTTAAAACCTGTTCAAAATCAGCAGAAAACTTGCATTTATTAAGAAAATATCAAATTGCGGTATTTCGAGAATAAGATCAGCCAAAATGTCGATTTTTTGCGATTTTAAGTCCACATGAATCACATATTCACCCCCTGCAACCCGTTTTTGGGTACATTTTTGGCGCATTTTTTGCTTCAAGACCCCTGTATGATACAACAATATCGTCACCTTTCGGTCATACAAATAGTATTACAAGCGCAATGCGACGACGACGTTCAAAAATTTCCGCCGCCCTTATATTTTTTTACAGAGACGCTGTTTAATGAAGCCGTCCGGAAATTTCACTGAGTTTTCTTTGGGCTGCCTATAAAATTCTGTGAAATTTTCAAAGAGATTCAACCGACAATTTCTCTATACAAGAATAAAATGGCGGCGGAAATTTGTAAACATAGCATGGCGCTTGTGATGCTTCAGCCGGCGGGTGACGACATCGCCTTGTCTGTAACTCATATTGCATAACCGTCGAAGTGAAGGCGCTTCGGTTCCCGGAGAAACACCATGATCCCCTCGTTGACTCTTGCAGTTCCGAGTGATGCTGGTCCTGGAGCAGTGCAACGGGGCGCCGTACAGCGTGGGGTCGGCCCCGAGCCTCGTGATCGGGACCATGGCCGCCGGAGTCCCTTCATCACCGCCGATCATCGTCAGCGCCATCGCCAACGATGCCACCAACATCTCCGTCTCCTGGCAGCCTGGCCTCTTTCCAAACGCCCCCCTCCTCTCGTACGCCCTCGAGATCAACCAACTCCCCGCTGGATACACCGCCGTCAAGGTTAGCCCATTTCATCCCCGCCTAAACCTCCTACAGTGGACTCTCGATAATTCGAAATTGAAGGGAATCGGCTTTTTCTTCGAATTAGCGAGGTTTCGAAATAAAGAGAGTTCGAATTAAAGAGATTCCATGTGGAGAAATTTCGAATTAGAGAGGTTCGAAGTATAGAGGGCAGGCGCCATCTGAATTCGAATTATAGAGGGGTAAATGGGCGGATTTACGCCAAAAGGTCTTTAGGTCAAAGGTCAAGCTCTTTCAGACACCCAGGTACATAAACAGTTGACTTGGAATTGTAGAGGACATGTACCGTCTTATTTCGAATTATAGAGGGAGGGCCACATTTACTTCCCACACTTCGAATTATAGAGAGAATTTTCGTCGTAATTTCGAATTGTAGAGGGCCGCGCCACCTAAAAAAATTCGAATTAAGTAATGAAGTGAGAAAAATACATTGATTTTCTTCGAATCATCGAGAGATTTTCAAGGGAAACAGACTTTCCTTCGAATTAACGAGGTTTTCGAATTATCGAGGATCGAAATATCGAGAGTCCACTGTACTTGTCCATTGGCCACGTCTCACTAAAGTAGCACGGATTGCCATTGCGTCGGAGTATTATGTGTATTGCCTATACAGTAAATCGAAGGAGCTCCCCTCATCGAAATTCATCCACAATATCGTTGCTCTACTGACGTAAGGGCGTTTCTCGATTTCCACACGGGCCCCGGAAAGCATAGATCTATAGGTGAAGCAGGGCTCACACGGGAATTGAGATACGCCCTTGCGTCAGACTTGCGACGATATAATCGACCCTCTCATTGTCAGTTCGGAAACGACCCATCTCGGGAAAATGAATATATTTAGGGGACGATAAAAATTGCGTCGCAACCAGATAAGGAGTGTTTTAAAGCAAAAAAATGGACATCGTAAAAAACCCGGGTTGGGTTGTTTTCGAGCCGAGAGGTTCAATTGAAATGAGTTGTAATTTTTTGGCATTGCAAACTGTCTACGCCTCTTACACATGGAGCTCATTTTATTGATCTTTTATAATCGGCATGTATAGGCCGAATGATAAGCAGGGTGTCTAGCATCAGGAAAAACCGGAAAATATCAGGAATTTTGGCCGATCAAGAAAATCGGAAATATCGGACATTTCATTAGGAATTTTTCTTACGCGAATCTCCTCAGCGGAGAAAGGCTTACTGCTTTTTGCCTACCGTGCCAGGAGTCGAGAAAAATCAGGAAAATATCAGGAATTTTCAAAATGAAAAAATCAGGAATTTTTTAAAAAATATTAGGAAAAATCAGAAAAATATCAGGATTTTTCAAGATTAAAAAATACTAGACACCCTGATAAAATAAAGAAAGGTCAAGCCAAGCACAGTTCGCATGGCTGAACTCGCTTGTCCATGGTAATCGTGAATTCAATGAGGCTGGCTCACCGAGTGTCAGCTGCTTGTACGTAAAAGCTGAAAGTAAATAAGGGGTTCAGGAGGGCATTTCTTCTGTCTCAATGTAAAAATGGGTTAACTTATTTGTCGTGGACTCTACGCAAACGCAAGACACCAGTGCGCTAAGTGCGTACCGCGCACCGTTCCACCGTGCACGCACGGTGGATTTGGCGCGAAAAGAGACGCTCGTGTACTGACCGAGCGTCGTTTTGAATTTCCCGCGTTTCTGAGGTGGCCTCGTTTCGCGCCAAATCCGCTGCGCGCAGACTGTGCGCAGTGGATTTGGCGCGGAAAAGAGGTCTTGCTGCGCGCAGAGTGTGCGCTGTGGCTCTGGCGCGAAAAGAGACGCTCGTGGTATGACCAAGCGTCAATTTAAATTTTCCGCATTTCGTGAAAATCTCGCTGCGCGCAGTATGTGCGCGGTCAGAATGGCTGAAAATGTTAAGATGTCGAGCGGAACGGGTGAGCTGGGCTAGTGGCTGGATAAGATACCTAAAGCACTTGTTTTTTTTTTTTTTTTTTTTTTTTTTTTTTTTTTTTT